TTTTTGTCGTTATTAATATTATTATTATTATTGTTGTGTTTGTTGAGTGTTTTCTTATGAAGTGTCACGAGGAAGGTGACCGGATGTGTATGTGCTAACTCTGGGGAAGTTCACTCCGCTCGCGCTGTTCTGTGTGATCATGGCTGCACTGGACCACACCAGCCATGTTTGCTAATTTAAAACCCAAAGGTTGGGGGGACAGTTGTTTATTATTTATCGCCGTGGCGTCTTCAGACGTACTTGTGTAAAGACGAAGGTTCTCTGGAAGCGTCTGCGCCCCGGACAGCCCCGGACTGAAAGGTTGGGAGAAGCTTTAGGTGAAATACGGGAGAAACTTCTGATGGTGGCGGTGTGGGAGGATGATGCTCCGCTAGAAAAAAAAAAAACAGTGTGTGTGTGCGTGCGGCGTAAACAATGTAACTTCAGCTGGCTGCTAGCTAACGTTAGCCCGTGAACAAAAGGGGAGCACGCCTCCATCTGTGAACACACCGAGGCTCAACTCAACCGGCTCGCCGTTCGTGTCCCCCGCGGCGCTCTCTCCCAGCTGCCGGGGCTACCATGGCTCCAGACCAGCGTGGTAGTGGTACCCGCTGCCCGGCTACGAGCTAACATCGCAGCTTAAAGCACCGCACTCGCTCACTCCGGGTAAACATTAAGAATGCTAGCAGCTAGCTACCCAAAGCTAGCGTGCGTTAGCTAGGCTCTATTGTGATGCCGTGGCTAAATAACCTTGGAGGTGAGGCGGGGTGGTTTTGTTTGGAGTGTTGTGTTAAATTAAATCGCTTTGTGGACATTTAAAGTAGTTTAATGTAACGTTAGCAACGTTGGATGTCAGCGGAGCAACGGCGCCTCCAGCGCTCAGCTAGCGCGGCGGAGCTAATTGCAGCTTCTTGCTACGGCCTTCCTGGTTGAATTAGGAAATCAAGCGTATAGGTGGCTACTTTGTGTTCGGAGGATATGGAAGTGTTAAACAGCGAGCGGTGTGGTAATACATCTCCGGGCCTGCGGAGTTACGCTGAAAAATATCCGGGCTAATCCCTCCATTGTTAGGCCGCCGGGTGCTCGGACACAGTGCGGACGCCTCGGTCGCTTCAGCGGTGGGTTGAGGAGGCTGTGCTCGAGTTAGCAGCGGCTCATCAGCGCTAATGATGAGCGTCTCCCGTAATTTTCCGCCTGTCCATTAAGGCTCGGGCCTGGCATCTGCCGCTGCGACATTTTGACGGTTGTTGTTGTTGGAGGAACCAAATGGTGCTGTCAGTGTGCAGCCGGCGAAAACACCTCCGATGTGCCATTTACACCAAATGTTTGAAATTGAGCGTATCGCGTATAGCGTCGACTTGCATTCAAAACAGCAGGAGAATAAACGAAAGATGAATTAAATAATTTTGCGTGATTCACGTGACGATGACATCGTGCCCGTGCATGTCAAGCTCAAACTTCCACGTGTTTTGTCGGAGAGAAATGTTGAATGTTGAGTTAACGCATGTAATAATTTCTGCTTGTTTTGTTTTTCAGATGGAGTCAAATAATCATTTCAACTATGGCACCCACTCCTCAGCAAACTCAGGACTGAAACGCTCCTCAGGGGATTCTCTTTATACTAACGGGTCCTCCATGAGTTTTCCTCAGCAGGGAAAGAGTAAGTATTTTTATTCTTGAACACAAAATAAAGTCCTGGAATTATCTGTTCACATGAGGTCAGCTCAAAGTTCCTGTGCTCACACCTGACATTACAATGAACGTGTCTCCTGTGACCAGAACTCACTTCCCTGCTATGTTTGCAAATAAACATGTCATTTGTGTTGTCTGCAATGACCAAATTATGTTTTTACCCAGTTTTAGTTTACAGATGTTTCTGATGATTTATGTTTGTGTCTGAGAGTTGGCGAGAGAGAGAGAGTGAGCGGAGTCAGGAGGGACTGAATGAATGAAGGCATACAGCTGTGAAGAAAGATTTTACCAGTTTAGGAAAATAACAATTATTATGTGGTGATCAGTGTTGACCGTATGAACAATGGAGCAACAGAAAAACATGTTTAAAAAAAAAAATATATATATATATTACTCATGCACACCTTTTTAACTTGCCAATGTTCTTGTGTCTAACAGATATGAATGGTGAGATTAATGTGAATGGCACCACTACTGTACTCGGGTCTGGTGTGCCTAGTTCCCACCCACCATCAGCTCCTTACCCACACATGAGCAACCACCACCAGAGCAGCATGGCCTTTGACTACCTGTGGGGGGGGCACCCTCAGTATGGTCCAGCCATGGGCTCATCTCCAGGGCAGGGGATGCATCAGAAGCAGCCTGCACCTGGGATGACGCAGCCTCAGTCACAGCACCACTTCCAGGGTCATGGACAGTACCAACTGAACGGGGGTATTGAAAGCTCCCACCAACCCCCTGTGCCAGGCCCGCCAAACATGCCCCTAACTGGGAGTCAGTACTGGAACAGGAGTAACCCTGGCCCACAGCAGATAGGTTATAATTCTCACAGTATGTATGGGACCTATCAGAGTCCGGCCCATCCCGGGATTACACCGTCACAGCATCACCAGCAGCAGTCCTTACAGCCTCCCCCACATCAACCATCACAGCAGCACCTCCACTCTCACCCACACCAACACCACCAGCAGCACCAGCAACCGCAGCATTATGGCCTGATGCCCAATGGGATGCCCTACTACCAGCATCAGCACCAGACCCTACCATCTCCTCAGCCGCTGCAGTCGCAGCCTCAAGGCCCAGCTCAGCTGAAGCCCCCAGCAGCCCAGAACTTTACGCCTCCACGCGGCAGCCCGCAGCACCACAGTTTAGGCAGAGCAGGAACTGGCAGCCCTCTCCCTGTGGGAATGACCTCTGCAACAATAATATCACCATCAACAGTGCAGGACAGTGGATCACCCAAGAGCCACAACAGGGATAGCAGCATGGGAATGTCGTCTGTCATGCAAGGTAACCACTTCACACAATTGTTTTTGGCTTATTTGATCCTGTCTGTCTTTTGTGTTTCTCTGGTTTCTATAGAAATGTATTACTGACATATGTGTCTGCAGTATAGTTTTAAGTTATACCATTTGGCATCACTCCAACTGCTCTGACATTTAGATTTTCCTCATTTACTTGTCTTCTTACTCTTTGTTTATCCTCGATGTAGCTTAACATACTTGACATTGCACCCTCCCTGGCTACATTAAACTCTCACATAGCAACTGTGCTAAGTCATATTGTTGAAGTGCATTATATTTTTTAGTTAAAAGTGATTACAACCTAGCGGGGAATATTTTCTTTTGGCAAGTTGGTTGATTAACTGAGTGGATAATTGACGAACAATGTTTTGATTCATATTTTTAGTCAGTTTTAAAATGTTGCTGGTTTCAACTTATCAAATGTAGAGATATGTCTCATCATAGTGAACTGAATATTGTTATATTATTTTTTTGCTTTCGATGAGACAAAGACATTTGAACACTTTTCATTATCATTTTGTTACATTTTATAAAATAATCAGAAGATTAATTAATTGGTGAAAACAATTTCTGTTTTCTATTTGCAGCCCTGCCAGTTTTACATTGCATTTGAATGTCTTGCACTGGGTCAGTCCGCCTGCCAGCGCTTAATACTGGGGCAGTGCCAGTATTAAACCAGCAGATGTCAGTGTCAGACTGTGTGCTGAGGTGAAAATGTACCATCTCTGAGGTGTTCTGTCAGCTATGGCCTACTGAACATTTTTATCTATAATGCTTCATTATTCATATTATTGATTATCATGTGGCCACCACATGCTCAGTGTGCAGCACCTTCACTGTGAATTGCTCATATTCAGTTTTTTCTTTACCATTTATACAACTTTGACGCAGTGCCTCAACTGAATGTTCAGCAAAACGATGCTGAGAGTTGCTCTTTTGTGGAGAAAAAGGATACTGTGTTGACCTTTCGTTGTTATATTTCAGGACTAGACAACTTCATGTTTATTCTTTACAACAGATGAGTCATATTGAATTGAAGGAGTATTTGTGGCTCCTGGGACAATGAGCTCCAACCAAATACAAGTTTTTGTTATGCAGACAAACGCTCTCACATTGTCAGTTGGTTAAGTTAGTACTGTGGTTACAAGCCTCTCACTGTCAGTCCTGTTTAACCAGTGTTATCTTGTGTTGTGCACACTGTGATAAACTGACAAGAATGTGAAGGACTTCAGAAGTTGGTGCTCATTGTGAGACGTTATAAAGTAGTCCTCACATCATCAGTGAGCAGATTTGTTTAGCTTTTTTAATGTCTGAGTCTATTATGGAAGACAACAACCTGTTGTTATAATTTACTATTTTGTTGATTCTCTTTCAGGGCATACAAGGGAAACCATCAAGGACGTAGACACAAGCTATAATGGCAGTGAAAGAGCACCTGTTGCTCAGAGGCTTTCCAAAGCTGACAGTTACCAATCCAAACCCTCTGCCACTCTTGTGGGACCTACAAGTGATTATCGACAGAACTCAGAGATGGCTTCTCCTATCCGAGACGCAGCCCCTAATCCACCTCCCCAGTGTGTGTCGTCTCAGCTTTCCACAGCTCCATCCCCTCCAGCTGTGTCAGCATCACTAACAAAGTCCTCTTCAGCTCCTCCTGTCTCTGGATCTCCAAAATCTGCGCCTGGGCCTCCAAATGTTTCATTCCCTGATGTAGAATCTACTCCACCACAGATTTTAGCATCTCCCACTGTGTCCTCTGTGCAAGGCATTAGACCCCTTACTTCTGGTCAGACTGAAATGGGCCCCGCTGGATCCAAGCATCTGTCAGCAGGGTCCTCTTCCTCCTCCCTGCCAACGTCACCTCTGAAGTTGACTACACCTTCAGGTTCGACAACTATAGAGCCCAGACCTACCACAGCTTCCTCTGTTCCTCCTGTCTCTTCCTCTTCATTGGAGTCTGTGTCTCATCAGTCAAACTTGTCTCCTAAAGCTTCTGTTCCTAGTGCGGCTGTCACCTCAGCAGAAACAGTGTCCACGTCTTTCTCGGTGTCTGCGCCCATCTCGTCTCTTCAGCAAATGGTTCAAAGTTCCAGCCTGTCTTGCTTTCCCGATAAATCTGGAGCGCAGCATGAAATGCCAGGACCCCCAAAATTGATTACTGCCACTTCATCTGCAGGTGTGAAATATTCATCAGCTGGTCTGGTTCCACCTCTCGTGTCAATATCAGGAGCTTTGACGTCAGCACCATCTAACTCTTGTTTATCAACATCTGCATCTCCTGGCTCTGTATCAATTATGCCTTCAGTTGTCAATGAACCTTGTGAACCACCTCTCACACCCCATCACCAGACACGCACTCCTCCAGCTATCAACACTGGTCTTTCCACTGCCTCTGCAGCAGCACCGTCACCACCAGGAGAGGGGAATTCACCTTCCCTGTCAGCTCATGAAGGTCCTACAGTCAAACCTCTGTCTACCCTACCTCTTCTAACCACTCAAGCCTCCAGGACTGCACCTATGTCCGCCCCTCCTGCCTTGGTGTCTTTGCCTTCTGCAATGGGTACGTCTTCAGGAGTGGTCCAAAGTTATGACTCTGAGCAGCATCCACCTAATACCACTCCTCCTCCTGCACTGAAGCACCATGGTCATAGTGAGGATAGGAAGGTGTTCAGTAAAAAAAGAAATGGAAAACCAGAGGAACACCTCCCCCAGCTTGATTCAACCACGAGGACACCTCAGAAGGTGGAAGCGCCTGATATTAATACATCTGAAATTTTCTCTCATAAATCCCACACTGATCTTCCGAGGAAGTCTTTGCAGACCACAGTTGCTTCTGATCAAATGGCCAAGAATAAACAGAAGGACTATGAAAAACACCAAATGCAAAGCAGTGTCAGCGAAACAGAGGACTCCACGATGGAGCAAACTCAACCCAGAAAGTCACCACAGCATCACAGCATGAGGGTAGAACATCTGACTGAAGACAGTTTGGATAACTCTTCACATGCTGCTTCTCAATTTGATAACAGTTCAACATGTGACACCCCTTCAAGACTCGAAGTCAGCTCTGTCTTTGAAAAGTCGTCTATTTTTGATGGTGACAGCTTGTGCACAGATGACTCTGCTAACTTTGGCAACAGCTCGTACCTGAGAAAGGACACTTGTCAGTTTGACAGCACCTCAAATGCCGAAGGGGAACCATCGACTGCGTATGACAGCACTAGAGACAGCAGCTTCTCCATGGAAGACTCCAGAGATAACATGTTGGACTCCACTAGAGACGAGGAAACCTCTGAGGCAGAAGAGACCAAAAACACTTCCCAAATCCCCGGAGAATCCATGTTGGAGTCTTCTCTAAACAGCTCTGCACAGATAGACGAGACCTCTGTCGACTCAACTGATGGGTCCAAGCCACGCTTATTAGTGCCGTCTCAGAGTGGTCGTCAAGGTACAGTTTTAATTATGGAAACTTTTGTCACATGAGTTGAAAAGCAGTAATTATTGCCTGAAATGTGAATGATGATTTATCTAAAGAGGAGTCTTACTTCTAAAAAACATTTGTTTCTCTGTTTATTGCAAACAAACTGAGTTGCACAATTTGTTGCCTTTTAGTGGAATTCATGCCGACACACTTTAATGTCATCTTTAATTAGGGCCTGAAGCTGAGTGGGAGCCCAGAGGACATCATACACCCGACTTAGCTGGACGGATAAGCGTGAAGACCACTGTTAACGATTCAGTGACTCTGCCAAATTTCAACATGAGAGATGAGAACTTCATCGCCTTCAGTACGCCAGTAAAGAGCCCTGCTGTGCACCCACTTCAACCAGTAACTGATCAGATGATGTCAGCTCCCGAAGGACATCTGACAACCCCAGGAAAACCACGCAAACCTCGAACTCCAAAGGCAATATGGATTAAAACCCCAGGTATTCCAACATTCTGATTTTAATATAGTGTGTTTAAAAATATCAAATATTTTAACTTGAGAACCTTTTTTAAAATCTTATATTAACAGTTCCTGAGGGGGCCCAGCGAAAGCCTCGGGCTCGAACTCCTAAGGTGGAGAAACTCAAGACCGGTGAAGAAGTTGGGGCAGCCACAAGCAGGAAGAGGAAGAAGTCCCTCAAAGTGGATGTAAAAGAAACATCAGATGTATCTGGAGAGGCTGGGCCTCCTACTGATGAGCTTGATTCAATCACAGCCACCATTGAAGCTGTTCTGGCCAATGCTTCAGCCATTAACACAACAGCCGTGAAACTCAAGAAGGCGAAAAGGGTTAAAAAACAAGACCAAGAGGGAACCGTGGGGAAAACACCCAAACACGATGCCGGAACTGCTGCTGATGAAAATGATGATGACAGTTCAACTGCAGGTAATGAAGAATGTTGATGAGGTGCACATCACGCAATGACATTTTGTTGAAACAGGTTGTGAATCAGTCTAATTTCATGTTTGTTTTTTTCAAACAGGAGAATCAAACAGAAGGAGAGTTGCAACAGAGGAGCAGGTCCAGTTTCCATTGTCTCATGGGTAATTTTACCTTTAACCTCTTGCTTACTTTGGTGTTAAGAGCTCCAATTTGACAGACGGTAATAATAAACTCCACCAACCACAGGTGGAAGAGGGAGATTCGAGTGAAGAAAATGGAGAATCGCATGAAGGGGGAAACCTGGTACTACACACCTTGTGGAAGAAGGATGAAGCAGTTCCCTGAAATAATCAAGGTACATTTTTAATAAAAAACTGAACCAAATGGTCCTTATTTGCTGAATTCAATGCTTTGATTTAATGACAAAAACAACAGTTGATGTCTGCATGGTTAAAACAGTCACCTTTAAATTCTTTGTCTCCTGCCATCTCCTAACTGCTTTGCTCAGTACTTGAAGAGACGCACGGACAGCGTGGTCTCCAGAGAACACTTCAGCTTTAGCCCACGCATGCCTATCGGAGACTTCTACGAAGAGAGAGAAACTCCTGAGGTCAGTAGCTGTTTGCTAAGTCATTAGCATTATCTTTTACATAAGAACAAACTTCATAAATTGTATTAATTTTCAGCGGAATAAGTATGAGGGGATCTGACGATTTTGTTTTGGGGTTAATCTCGAAGACATGCACAGTCACCTCAAGGGAGATTGTCATTTATTTGACATTTACAGTCGGTTTATTCTAATTGCCTGAACCTACACACACAATGGATTGTAATATCTGAAGATTACTATGAATCAGAACTGCAGTGCATTTGCAACCAATGGAATCTTAAACATATCAGAAATGTGTAAAAGGGTGAGGGATGAGGGATTCATCATTCTCCACTGTATGTTTCAGGGTGTGAAGTGGGTCCTCTTGGCGAATGAGGAAGTTCCTTCCATGATCATGGCCATCACCGGCCGGCGAGGTCGACCTCCAAACCCAGATAAAGAGAAACCTCGCAGAGCTCGTGGCCTGAAGGGAGGGCAGACCCGCCGACCCGGTAGACCTCCCAAACCCAAGATGATCGACCTCCTTAGCAAAGTTGATGCCAAGCTGTTGAATCGACTTGAAGCTAAGGGTAAGTGGCTGTCGAATTATGGGTGTATCAGGATGTGATTGGCTAACATTAAGCAATGGTTTTCATGTGCTAAGATCAAAAGGCTTAATTGGCATGTAACCTCAAGACTGTGGCTAATTGTTTTACTCACTTTTTATAGAAGCTCTTACGGAGGAGGAAAAGGAGAAACTTGCAAAAATCAAAAAGAAAATGAAGAAAAAGGTTTGTAATCCAGACTTAAAATTGTGTCCGTTCTGCTGTTAAGATCTCATACTGACTTTGCTGCTGCTGTTCATATTTTAGGCAAGAATGAAGAGAAGGCAGGATGCTAAGATTAAGAAGATAAAAGATGAAAAAAAGAAAGCCAAGGTAAAGACAAAAATATGAAATGATTTATCAGCAATGTTCTTTCCGCTACCTTTTGCTTACCTCCACCTGCTCTTTCTGTCCTTTGTGAATTCAGCTTGAGCAAAAGGGCCTGGAGCTGAAGGCTGAATCAACCGACCCAGCGGCCCCACAGGTCGCACAGCCCTCAGAGTCTGCACCAGAGCCCAAGAAGCCAGGCCGCAGAAGATCAGCCAAGGTTGTGGCTCCTCCACCAGTACGGCAGACAGACGAGGAAAGAATAGCCCAGGGTAAGAGGGTTCTGGGTGCTCGGAGTAAAGCAAAGGCTCTGGCTAAAGCTCAGGCAGAGGCGGAGGCTGCAGCTCAAGCTGCTCTGTCAGCTAAGAGGGCAGCAGAGAGGAGAGTGCAGGCCCAGAGGCGTCTGGAGGAACGAAAGAGGCAGCAGTTGATTGCAGATGAGCTGAAGAAGCCCACAGAGGACATGTGTCTTACTGACCACAAAGTGAGTTTTAATGTAAACACAAATCTGTTCTTATATGCTCTGTTTAAGCTGAGATTGTAAAGATCTTGTCTGTATGTTTATGACCTTCAATCTTTTGTCTCCACCAGCCCCTGCCAGAGCTGTCCCGTATTCCTGGTGTGGTTCTCTCTGGCACAGCCTTTGCACACTGCCTGGCTGTGGTTGAGTTTCTCCATGGTTATGGAAAACTGATCGGCCTCAATATACCCAAGGACATTCCCAGCCTCGCTACCCTACAGGAAGGCCTCCTGGGCCTGGGCGACAGCCAAGGAGAAGTCCAAGACCTACTGATAAAGCTGATGGAGGCTGCACTCCATGACCCAGGCCTGCCGTCATATTATCAGGTGTGAGATAAGAGTTTAAATCATTAGGCATTGAATCAGTGAAAGCAAACCAAACACTGACTTGTTTCAGCAGCTCCAGTCTAAAAATTTGCTGTTTTTCTTTTTATGTCCTCTATCAGATTAAACAAACAATTGAAATATGTCATCTTACATTTTCTGACTTTTTAAAAGGAAATTAATCAATCAAGAAAATTATCTTTAGCTGGAGTCCTATGTTTGATACACTGTGAGCATATAAATGCTCGTATTTACATATTTAAACTTTTAAATTTTCTTTGTCTATCTTTCTTTTCCGAACTTAAGTCTGTAAAGATCCTTGGGGACAAGCTGGTGGAGTTAGAGCTGACCCGCAGCACGGTTTCAGAAGTTCTTCGTATCTTTTTGGAATCTCATGGTTATGAGACGGAGGTGTGCAACACGCTGAGGACCAAAACATTTCACGCCCTCCCCCCTGATACCAAGGCAGCCATCCTGGGCTTCGTGGTGGAAGAGCTTAACAGCAGCAACATTGTGACGAGGTTAGACAAAGAACTAATTATGTATTTATTCATTGAGGCCATTCTTTAACCCTTGTTACTTTATTAATGCATGCATTTTGTGTTTCAGTGACATTGACAACACTTTGGAAAACATGGCAACCTACAGGAAGAACAAGTGGATCATTGAGGGGAAATTACGCAAGTAAGTCACTTCATATAAAGAATAAATACATATCCCCCTCAGATCTTCTGTGAATCAGAGCACAGATCACCATGCTCATTATGAATGTGATGTGTGTGTCAGACTGAAGGTAGCACTCGCGCGTCGTACAGGACGCTCAGAGGAAGAGCTGTGTTTTGAGGAGAGGCGCCGCAGTGCCAGGGTGGCTGAGGAAGAGAACCTCTCTCTGGAGGAGAGCGGGGTGGTACTAGAGAGAAGCAACCGCCGCGCACGCAAAGAAGAACCAAAACTCAGCGATGTATGTATCTGATCTACTGTTTTTATTTTTAGATTTCAAAATCTGACTTTTTTTTTTACATTAAATTTAAATTAAATTCTTGCTACAGAGTGAGAGTCCAACCAATGCCAGCATTCCAGAGCTTGAGAGGCAGATCGATAAGCTGACCAAGGTAAGACTGATACCATGCTGACACTGTATTTTATACATTTATGTAATGTTTTATTAAAAACACTTCTGCTTTGTTTCACTACAGCGCCAAGCATTTTTCCGTAAAAAGCTGCTACAAACGTCTCATTCCATGCGGGCCATTTTGCTGGGTCAGGACCGGTACAGGCGCAGATACTTGGCTTTGCCTCACCTCGGAGGAGTTCTAGTAGAGGGACCAGAGGAGCTCTTGAGTGAGTCTGAGGATAAATTAACGTTTTTACACTTTACAACCCATTGGTCTGTCCGTCTTTAATACATTTTCCTCATATTTCTCTTTCAGCTTCTGGAGATGTCCTTGTAGCTGAGGTGCCTGTCACCTTCTTAAAAAAGGAGCCCAAAGTTGAAGAGACCCCTATGCCTACCACATCTCCTGCTACTCTACCCTCTTCTCCTTCCTCTGCTACCCCCGCCCCAAACCAGACCTTGTCTCCAGAGGAGGACCCCCTTCCAGGCACTGCATCTCTCATGAGCAGGCCAAGAGGACGTGGTCGCCCCCGAAAAATCAAACCGGAAGTTGAGCTTCACCTCCGCACAGCGAAGATCCGCCGCCGGCGTCGAAGTAGCATCAGGTCTGGTGGCGAAGAAGGGCCAGGATCACCGAACAGTGGCACACAAGACCTCACACAAGCTGCTTTCCAGAACTGGCTCAGCCAATCACAGGAAACGATGACCAACGGCACATGCGCAGCATCAGGAGAAGCTCCAGACGAAACCCAACCAGAGGAGAGTGTGAAGGAGATGGCAGAGAAACAGGGACAGTGGTTCAATCTGCTCCCCAAACAGCCGTGTGATAATCTCTCTCTCACTGAGCCCCAGCTGCCCACTTCACCTACTTCACCTCCTAAACTCCTCCCTCAGATTCCGAGTACTCTGCCTGCACTCGCTGCTCCACTCATGCAGGTTTGCTCACCACAATCAATACAGATACATTTAATTAAGAAATAACAATGCACTTAAACGATTATGTTTGCTATATTAATAAATAAACTCTCCTTACCCCTCAGCCGGACCCACTCTTGCCTGACTTGGCTCCTGCTGACCCTGTGACCTCAGCAACACCACAGGAAATCCCCCCTACAACCCTTACCTCTGCACATCCTGACACTGCCCCACCACCACTCCCTCAGCTCCTTCCAGCTCCCATTCCTCCTTCTCTCATTTCTCCTGCTGCCCCTTCCACTCCCACCACCCCTGCCAGGCCAGGTCGCAGGCGGAGGAGAGGCAGCAGAGGCAGCAGTCCTGCCCGCAGAGGGCCACGAGGAGCTGCAGCCAAACGTCGTGGCCGCCCTCCCAACTCTGTGTTCCAGGAGCTGGAGCAACAGTACTTCACACAGCTTGTGGTCAAACCCATTCCAGCATGTAAGTAGTGGTGTCCATGATTTCTGAGAGATTCAGCAATTTAACAACCAATGAACTATGATACAGTCACTCCTGACATTTAGTGAACACATGAAGAGTGTAATTTTATCATGGTCCTCGTATGTTTCTTTTCCAGCAATGGTGCGTGGCTGGTGGTGGATCAAGGAGCCAGAGGAACTGTTAAACACCTTACAGGCCCTTCACCCAAGAGGCATCAGGGAAAAGGTCCTCCATAAACATTTGGCCAAACATATAGAGAGCTTAACTGAAATGTGCACCAAATCTATTACCGGTGAGTGTTGTTTGCAAATGGACCATCTCAGTTGCCACTTAATTAATTTTGTTATTTCACATCATTATGCCCACAACTCTGGATTTCTGGAGAATTTCTCCTGCATGTTTGCCCTGTGATCCTCGTTTAAAACTGTTCTGCTTTTGTTTTCAAATAGACCCAATATTTGAGTTGAAGGTAGAGGAGAAAGGTGTGCTCATGGAGGTTCTGCAGCACCCGCTGCAAGTGCAGGAGAAGGCTATGGAGACTGACGTCATCGCCCTGCAGTGGGTGGAGGACCTAGAGCAGCGAGTCATTGCTGCTGACCTCCATCTGAAGGTGAGAAATAACACTCGCCAATCTGCATCATTGGATTAATCCGACTTTGTCAAAACAATGGCGGCAATCCAAGTTGTGTCGACAAAATGTCACCCAAAGTTTTTAATGTAATGTTGTTATCAAATTGTGCCAGTGGGGGGTCTTTATTGTATACCCCATCTATTTCCTCTTATTTCCTATTTATTTTCTCATGTGAAAATAAAAGTTAGAAGTTATTATGTTATAATAACCCCAAAATACTGAAAATAGATTTGCAGCAAATTATTAAATGGTTTGAAAAACAGATGTGCACATACAAACCCTTTACCTCCCTTTTGTGTTTCTTCAAGGCACCTCCTCAGAGCGCAGTGAATGAAACTGAATCTAACACAGAGACACCGATAATAGAATTCCAGGTAATTATCAAAGCTCTTGATTGTATTAAAAATAAATAAATATATGGATTATACCTGTGACTGATACTTAAACCCCTTCTGCCCTTTTAAGCCCTACACAATCCCAGATCCAGACTCCACACGGGATGATCTCCAGTACTACGAACATGACGCAGACCCACGTGATGACTGGATTGTACGAACCAAGAAGGAGTGGTCTGGCCTGCCTCGCATCGCCACACACCCTCTGGACCTGGCCGTGCTGCGCCTGTCTAACCTTGAGCGAAACATCGAGAGACGCTACCTGAAGGAGCCCCTGTGGAACCCATCTGAAGTGATGCGCCTCGCTCCTCTCACGCCTACACCAGGGGAAGAGCATCCCATGGATGTCATTAGGTGAGAAGAACAGACAGGATCTGTGATTTGTTTTTAGGTATATATTTTTACCTTGTCTAATAATATTCCTCTGTTGCAGTCTGGAAAGTGAAATCACCTCTCGACTACGAACATGGCGGCAGGCTCTAGATCGCTGTCGCAGTGCTCCACAGATTTGTCTGTGTTTGCTCCAGCTGGAGAAGGCCATTGCTTGGGAGAGATCTGTGACTAAAGTGGTGAGTAACTTTATCTCACTCAATTTATCTTGGACTCTGGTGTTCTCAGGTTTTTTTGGAAGCACACTGCCCAACAAGTGATTGTAACATTTAGGGTCTTTGCCTTTGATCTCTCCTTTTCTAGAATTGTCAGGTTTGCAGGAAGGGAGATAATGATGAGTGCCTGTTGCTGTGTGATGGCTGTGATCGTGGCTGCCACATGTACTGCCTGAAGCCCAAAATCACTCAGGTGCCAGAGGGAGACTGGTTTTGTCCCACCTGTGTTGCCAGGGTAAGACCCAGTCCTGTCTTTGCAAAGTGACAACATTTCAAGGAAGAAATTAGAGCAGTTATGAATGATTTATTCCCTTCTATTTGTTCTGTGCTACATTTGACCCTCTGCAACTGAATCTGCTTCCATATTGGTTCTGTCTCTCAGGAGGAAGATGAATCAGAGCGCTTGACGAAAACCAGGTTCAGGGTGAAAAAGAGAAGATATGAAGATGAAAGCTCTGAAGATGAAACCACAACACGACGTAGTTCTGGGATGGCAACACGGAACAAGGAGACCGTGGCACCGACTTCGTCCTCGCGTTACTCTGGAGAAGGAGGTGGCACTAAACGCCGCCGGATGACAACCCGCAACCAGCCTGACCTCACCTTCTGCGAGTGAGTCTCTGAAGAGCTAAGCCCATAGGGCAAAACGTTTTCTTTTCGTCAGGTTGTCATAGATTCACCTTGTTGTATTGTCACCCAGGATCATTCTGATGGAGATGGAGGCTCATGCAGAAGCCTGGCCGTTCCTTGAACCCGTCAACCCCCGACTGGTGCCAGGCTACCGTCGCATCGTCAAGAACCCGATGGACTTCCTCACCATGAGAGAGAAACTGCTACAGGGAGGGTAAGAGCAGATCACACAACACATATAATCACTTCTTTATTTATTCTATAGTCATTTCCCAGTCTTTGTACATCTACATGCAGACAGATGTGAAGGCGCTTAAAAACTTGATGAGTGAGACAAATAATTATCTTACAACTGTACATTAAATAGGAAATAAAAATATCATCCCAAGTCTTTACAGTTAAATATTTTACTGAAACCAACAAAATGTTATTTCCTGTCCTGCTACATCCCTAATGATATATTCATTCATATGCAGAAGCCAATGATGGCCCAGTTCCTGAGAATAATTTGTTCCCTCTGGTGCTTTTTAAACATCAACCTTTTCTCTGTCCCGGTTCTTCGCCTCAGGTACTGCAGCTGTGAGGAGTTTGCGGCAGATGCTCAGTTGGTCTTCAACAACTGTGAGCTTTTCAACGAGGACACATCAGAGGTGGGAATGGCCGGACACTCCATGAGACGCTTTTTTGAGAGCCGCTGGGCGGAGTTCTACTCAAATAAGGACAAATAGGAGCCTGCGACGTTCTCCCTGATGGTGGGGCTGTAGACTGTTGGTGCTCTCACTGTCCCAGTCACACTCTCCGTGTTACTGCTAAGACTGTCTGGAGGTTCTTCCAGCCGTGTGTATTCTCTCATGTATAAGTATATATGTATAGATTTTGGCTATTGTCTGTTATTGTTTCCTCTACAGGCCGACTCTTTTCCAGGCCCACAGCTGAACTGGCTTGAACTCGTAGCCATTCCCCATCAAAGAGAGTGAGAACACGTCTCTCTTCACTTTTCCTTCCTCCTTAACATTTCTCCTCATCGTCACCACAGCACCTCATCCTCATTCTCCTGTCATGTCCTTTAACAAACACCGTGTCGTAGCGAGGCCAATTCAATCGCTGCTGCGGGTGATGACACGTCTCAGGCCCTGAGTATTTTGACTCTCCGACTCGTACTGAAGGTCAGGGACTGATCACACTATTGTAGCTGAACGGCTGCTCACTGGACCTGCTTAGCATCGCTCAACGACAAAATGGATCAAAACTCTTCACAGAGCTTGCACCATTTCTTACCTGTTCAATGGAAATTTAATGTAACGTGGTCTTATGCCTAGAAGTAATTTTTTGCTCAATATATTTTTATTATATATTCTATATATAAATATATATAAAGATTACAATAGCTGGGATTATTTAATAGCAATAGCTTGTAGTGAACGTGTACAGATTACCTTATAGAGATGTCTAGACGATTTATGAAAAAGGCCAGTTAAACTAAAAGGAATCTGTTCTTGGACTGTCACAAGTAGACGTTGTATAACCTCCACTTAAAGTCTTGCACGCACACATACACACTGTTCACCAACACACACATGCACAACACACACATGATTTCACACACACATTACCCACCTTCTGCTGCTGTGTGAAAGACACTGGTTTCTGAAACTGGAGGACTTTTAATGTTGGTCGGTCAGTGGGGACTGAGACGCATTTCACTGTCCCTTGTGTTAAGAGTAGATAATCAGTGTGTTGCATCAGACCTGTGTCACCACTCGGAGGATGCTACTGACGTTTTAGCACCTGCTGAATAGTCTGATTAGAGAACACAGCTCACACTGAAATGTTGCTCTTACTTAATGTAAAATTCCCTCAAGATAAGACGATGTTTGCAGCTTCAAAACTACAACTGAGCGACCAGGTGAAAACTTCTGAAGGTGGTTTTATGTGAGGTTAAAAATCCTCATTTTAAAGACTAGAATTTCAAATGAGCTCTGATAATGAAGCATTGGGCAACTGCCCAGTTTTCTGACTTGCATTCCTTTTCATGGTTTTGTTATGGTTTTGTTTTTGCTGTACAAGGGCCAATGTACAATGTTGTGCGGCATGGGTGGTGTTCTATGAAGGCGACAGGATGACTCCACAGTCCAGGTTTTATTTAAACTTGTTTCTTACACTGAACTCAAATCCGTTGATAGGAAATAAACTTTGCTGTTCCTTATTTCACTTAAAGGGACGAGACGTTTTTTTCAAAAAAGAAAAAAAAAAAGACATGACAACCAAATGTGGTGTTAAGTGAATTTTTAATAATGTACAGTTTTGGTGACTTTAAATTTTGTTCCTTTATATTTTTAGGACCAATTCATCATTTTTAAGAGGAGGTATTACAAGACTCTGTTGTATTAAGGTGATGTAACACGTGTGCATCTGTAGAATGTACTGTGAGTTGAATAAAAACCACACCTAGTAGAGAGTATTTGTTTTCTGCCTCTCTTGTCTCTGACTCTTCTCCATATTTATCTCATATTTTAGATTTCCTTTATATAGTTTCCTCCCACAGTTTGAAGACATTTGTTGACTCTGTCGTTAGATTGCTGAACAATCCCTGGTACCTGGTTTCTTCTATGTGAGGATTTAAAACCTATAGAATAGTGAATGAAACACATCTGATTTAAGGCTGATGTTCAGATTAAAAGAAGCAAAAGGAAGAAATCTTAATGGGCTTTGAAAACTTGTTGCATATTTTCACTCTTGAAATCTCACAGACTAAACTAGAATGGCAATAATTAGAGTGCATTGCTCTGCCAAGGCCCAATAGTTCTTAAATTCAATCAAGCTGCACCAAATTTCACTCAGTCATAGATATCAGTTCCCTTAATGTGCATCCTTATTTTTTCAATCAAAATTTGATAATTATTCCTCGGAGGGAACAGTGAAAATATTGAAAAATCTCACAATGATAAAACATTTTAATGTAATGGAGTGAAAACAATCTCCCTGGCGGAAGTAATGAATAATCAGCACATTAAATATAGGTTGTATGAATGGCTGCACTTGTGAGTATAGAGACTAATGGATACACACATGGGAGGGTGCACAAATATGTGACAAAATATCAAGAATAAAACAATAAATACAGAGTGACAATAAAATCTTACCTGAAGCATTTTCCATGCACACCATTCATCTGCATCAGGTTATTTTTTACCAACATAGTTTTTACCATAGTGAGAAAGAATGAACAAGAAGTAGAAGCAGCTACTTCGTTAAATGACTCATGACTGAACTCATTGATGCCATTGATATTAACACACCTTCCTGTTTCTAATATATTAAATCAGATCTGGATGAAAGATCAGCTTTTGTACTTGGTGTTATATTTCTGATGTGTTATATTTGTGATTGTGTCATTAAGTGGTTAAAACAGAAATATTATGTAACATTAGTATTTGTAAAATATCCATGAGAGTGGAGCCTTTTTTTGTGTTTACAAGTTATTCAATATTCCTGCTGTAAAAACAAGATCACACTACCTGAAAAAAACAGACAACATTGGGTTTATTAGTGAACTTTTTTTCATAACACGCGTCATCTCCGATGTCACCGTATCTCACACAACCAAAGTGCTGCAGTACATCACGCCTGAGAGTGAGAAGCAGCCCGACCACGACGCTGGACCCTGGTGAAGAGTGTGCAAGGGCCCCTGCAGCTCCCTGGAGAGTCCTGTCTGCGGCACATGCTGCCGGGTGCTGCCATCACTCCCAGCTGCTCCAAGGTGGAAAAGACTTGAGCTCAGCACATACACACAATCACTGTATAAACACACTTACATCTATACATATCACAAAACATCAAAAAACAAAAAAGACAAGAATTTACATAGAATTTAAAGCTGTGAAATATGTGGACTGTGTCTCTCCATCTCTCCATTTGCCCTCTATCGCTCTCTCAAACCCCTGAGCCGGCACTTTGTGTGAGTGTGTGTGTATATTTGTGTGTGAGATTGTGTCAGTGTCAGCACTCTGGGTGGAGGGGTGGGGGGGTTAAAAACTCCCCACGCCAGCGGGTTCCAGCTCACCCCCCCCCCGCCCGTCCTGGTCCACACAGTTGGGCTTAGCTCCACAAAAGGGGGGATAACAGTGACACAGTTGCCGTGGAGAGGAGGGGGTAATCCAGGGTATAATGGGGCACACCAACACTGCCCCACACCCCCCTGAGCCCCCACCCCAACCGACCAGTTGGTTCTGGACTCGGTCTGAGTCCCCTGATGCCCGGGAGAATCAGTCTGAGCTCCAAAACATCACGTCAGCTGCCTTCGTTCTGCTGCTGAAACACGCATCCTACAATAAATATGAAAATAAAATCATAAATCAATGTTCAGATGACGCTGAGCAACGTCAGTCTGTATGTTTAGAGAGAAGCCGTCATCCGGCCTGTGATCGTTTGATATCAGCGGATGAAAATGAAACGTGTGCACGGATGCAGCATCACAATAGGCTCTATGGCAACCGCATCATGAAAGAGTTTGTACCCATGGTGATGAGAGCGGTACCTCACAAGTAGTTTGGAGGAGGATGGAAAGACATCATATTCCAGCTCTTTAGTGTCATCACACAGCAGCGTGTTATGTTTCTCTTCACTTTCCTCAATCCTACATCAAATCTGTACTTCTTGAAAACCTAATTTTCCTCTTGGAGATGCAGCGTTAAAATACAGAGTCATGTTTATCTCATATTTATCTGCTGCTGAAATGGAACATACGACCCAGTGGATCATCTTACAGCAGCTGACACGATCTTGTAGAACTGGTGTCTCTCTCTCAGGACACGTCAACGCAGTTCAGCCCAACGGCAACAACGTTTTTTGATCTGGATCAGGGGGTAGATCCAGAAACATTTATTTGTCATTTTTCAACATTTTCATTGATTTCTCTGAGAATAATTCATGGATCTTGATGAAAAAAATCAAGCATGTTTAGGGGACTGATATTTATGAGTGTGGGACAATTCATTAAAAATAAATCAGGATCAAGTGACTTTAAATGTGGTTTCACAAGGGAACTGTTAGGTCTCAGCAGAGGTTTGAAATCTGGTGACATTCGACTACAGCTGTTCATCACTAGTATTTATATCCTTTCCCACTCATGTTTTTAAACGGCGTGAACAAAAGTTCTCAGGACTCTTACAATAAAATTGTCCAGTTCAACACCACTGCAAACTTAGAAACCTAATAATCAACATTAAATTAATACAATCAAACATTGTTATTTGTATTTGTTATATATTTGTCTAAGTTGTTGGATTGTCTCTCTGGAATTTTAGAAAGCTTGTTCGTGGCTACTCCTTTTTATTCATCAAAAAACTGAGTGAAAGACAACGTTTGAAGTTGATGAAAGTTGCTGACATAACTGACCCTGTGCTTATAACCGTGATTAAGTTGTTTCAGTCATTTTCCACAAGTGTTTTCTGTCCTTAAAAGCAGCCGTGTGTTTGATTTCCATCCAGACGTTGTGCAACGTTCTGAAGTGGCCACAATCACTTCAGTTTGAAGACGAGTGAAAGGCTCTTCTAGTTTTTCTAAAGGTGAGTTAAATTGTTCTGGTCGTTAGTCTGATGGAGGAGCCCTGGGAGGACGTGATGTCACACCTTCCAGCTTTAGGAGGCAGCTTGTGTCGGATGAAGTTTGTGCACAGGGAGACTCGATAGGGCCGGAGGTGTCTGGTGAGGAGAGGGTGAGAGGAGAGAGAGCGAGGGGGAGGAGGCTGCTCCCATCAAAGAACCTCTCAGACTCTACAAGTTGATGAGGGATGTCGCAGAGACCCTGAAGCCCTCAGACCCCAGCAGACAGACAGACGGACGACAGGCGGACGGAGCTGCAGAGAAACGACAACAAACCTGAGGGCCGGAGACTGAGTGAGTTTGAAATGACGTGGCGTGAGGTGAGCATCCTTTTTATTGCATTGCTTGTTTGAATCCCTCATCAATTTCCATCTGTGGGAGAATAAAGACAATAGATTTAATCACCGTCACTGAGGAGCGTTGATGTAATTGAAGACAATTTAAACCACTTCAGCAACAGAAGAACTTTATTGGTTTGTTTTATGTTAGTGTTTGGGGATGACACATTCATTCCTGATCAAGAACACATTGAACACAATGAGAAATACTTGTTGTCGGCTTGAAAAGGATTTGTTAGTGTCAGACGGTGAAAGAATAAGTGTTGTCTGTGTCTCGTTTAATGTCTTCGAGACCATTTGTTTCCTACTTGACAGTTTTTATTGCTCCTGCTGGCAGTGGAAAGATAATCTTTGATGGATAAACATAACCATCAGCATGTGATATACATTTTTTATCAGGCTCTAGGACTATAAAAACTATGTGACTATTTTTCTAACAATGGAGTTCAGCACTATTTAAGGTTTGAGCAGTTTTTTCCGGTTTGATTCACCTCACGTGTGACACTAAATATAGGCCATCTTTGTTTATTCCCCCTTTTTCCTGAGGAGCTACGGAGTCGGCAGTTCTGGCGAGCCATGCTGGCAGAGCTGCTCGGCACCCTGGTGTTAGTGAGTGCCGTGCTGGGCGCCTCTGTGCCGGGCCCAGGAGAGGCCCCTGGGGGACCCCTGTACCCAGCTGTGGCCGTGGGTGTGGTGATTGTTGCACTGGGACACTGTTTTGGAGAAATAAGTGGTGCACAGGTGAATGTAACCGAGCCACATGTTGATTCTGAAATTTTGATTTTGAACTTAATTGAAACTCTTTTGTTGGTCGTCACAACACAGTCGTCAGTGGTTGAAGAAGTACTCAGTATTACAAGAACCTATAACACAAAGTACAAATACTGAAGTACAAATACTGAAGTGCTTTGTATTTCAAATTCTTTTCGGTGAAAAAAATAAATATAAGTATATATAAAATCAACTGAATGTACTTAAGAATTGAAAGTAAAAGTGCTTGTTTGGGTCAGGCCTCCAATAAGTCACAAAATAATTTTTAAAAGTTATGTTCCACAAAATAAAATGAGGTATTGAATTTGGCCATTTTAAACAGAAAAGTGTTGAGTGGAAAATGTCCTTTGGTGAACAAATGACAACTCGTAACATCTGAAACATGACAAAGAAAGACAAGAGAGCATTATACATACAATACATACAATACATACAATACATACAATACATACAACACATACAATACAAGACATATTCATCAGCGGCCACCAGCCTCAAAGGATCTGTTATAATTACACTGCTTTTTCTGTTCTTCTTATTTGTTATGTTAAATCTGAACATGAAAAGTAAAAGTATCTGCAGTTGTTAGATAAAAGTAGTGGAGTAAAAAGTAAAACATATTTCAGTGAACTACAGCAGAAAATGGAAATACTCCAAAAAGTACCTCAGAAGTGTAACTTTTATACAGTAACTAAGTTAATGGACTTAGTGACGTTCCACCTCTGTCGTTGAGTTGAGGATGTGATCTGACTGGACTCTGTGTTTCTGTGATCAGGTGAACCCGGCAGTGACTCTGTCTCTGTTGGCCACTCGGAGGGTGGACGTCCTCAGGGCCCTTTTCTACATCGCAGTGCAGTGTCTGGGGGCCTCTCTGGGGGCCGGGGCCCTCTACCTGGCCCTGCCGCTGAAAACCACCGCGGAACACTTTGTCAACAGGGTCGGTTCTCAAAATATTCAGCTTCACATTCTGAAGTTTAAAAGTCGTGAAATTTGTGTGAAGTCTCTGTCGTCTCGTGATTCCATCAGGTGCCTCTGGAGTTGACCGCAGCCCAGGCGCTGGGTATTGAGGTTCTGTGCACCTTCCAGATGGTCTTCACTATTTTCTCAGTGGAGGACCAGCGGCGGAGGGAGAGTCCAGAACCAGGAAACTTAGCCATCGGATTAGCTCACACAGCTGGAGTGTTAATAGGGGTAAAAAAAGCTCCAGGAATCAGAATATTTAGATATTTAACAAATAATAAATAGCATATAAATGTGCAAAAATCTTAGGTGCTAAAGGATATTTTCAAAAACGAATGCTCTGTATGGTTTTCATTAATCGATTACATTCATCTAAAGTGCAGCTTACAAAAAGTAACTATATTAAATCAATATGGCCTCAAAGCAGCACCAGATCTCTGAGGTTTTAAAGTTACGACTGTGGATTTAGTCTCAGTGTCTTTTGGCTTTTTGTTTGATCCCAGACTGACTCTGTGTGTTCTTCCTCAGGCCCGGTTCTCTGGTGCGTGTATGAATCCGGCTCGTGCTCTGGGTCCAGCCATCATCGTCGGGTTCTGGGAAAATCACTGGGTGAGAGAGAAAATCCCAAATCTCTGGGGTGATTGGACTGTATTTTTGGCTTCAAACTCTTGATAGAAGCATCAATTTATTGTTGGTTTTAGTTCAAGAGATTCATTGACAATAAAGTAAAAAATATTAATTTCAGTGAGCTTTTTCTTGGCCTCAATTGTGATTGTAAAAATAGTTTACATTGTGTTTTTGGGTCATCTATGAACTGAAAACATTTCTCTGTCCATACACATCATTATAAAATCTGTTTTTCCTTTTCTTCCCCTGCAGGTTTACTGGATAGGCCCGGTGCTCGGTGCTTTGCTAGGTGGAGTGTCCCATGAGTTCCTCTTCGCACGCAGCGCCTCTCGCCAGAAGCTGGTGGCATGTCTGACCTGTAAGGACATCGAGATCGTGGAGACAGCCAGTATGACTGGATCATCCTTGTCCACGGTCACACAGAACGCCATGAGAGCCAAGCAGGCCAACAAACAAGACAACAATTGAGGACATGTGAATTAAAAGAGAAAAGGCACATAGAATCAATGATTACAGCAATATTACAGTGATTTGATGATGTATAGTGTACAGTGGATGTCATGCAGTTTAGAGAGGGCAGTGGGGGGGAACCAACAAAAAGGGATTCTGTGGAAACTAACGTATGAAAACACCAGTTTTCAATAATAATAGTTTGGTAAATGTAATAATGACAAAAGACACAGAGACTGACTGATGAGAGAGGTTATTGTACAGTGGCAAAAGAAAAGTGAGTCCGTATACATTCATATATTTTTCCATAGATACAGTTACATATGTAGGTAAATACATTTATGTATAAATTAGTCACAATAATGAACAAAGTTTATTTTATCTCGTAACACAAATCATTGTATAGTATTAAAAAACTCATATTGGAAACAACTTTTGCAAATGTCCTAATTTCAAGCCAGTGGAGACATATTTGAACTACAACCACTATAGAATATGTTGAGTAAATAGCACAATATTTGTTTCTCTGTAAACTATATAATCAAACAAGGTGCTGAAGACTGAAAATGTTGCATTGCAATGTTGCGCTCCAATGAGCTGTAAATACAAATTTTCACTGCAGACGTTTAGACCTGTTACAGAACAAA